AATAATGTAGCTTGATTATGAACCACAGCATCAAGCCTGCCTGCCCATGAAAACCGGCAGCAGACCAGCCAACCTACAGATCCTGGCAGCAGGCCTACCTGTCCATGGTCCCCACCAGTTGGCCCATCCAGAAACTCTGGCTGTACACCCAGAGTTTTCCCTGCAGAAGCAAGTCTGTCAGAATGGAAGAGGTCACTGCTTCTTCCAATGTGCAGATGCCAGTGCAAGGCTATAAGGATCATGAAGAATCAAAGAAACATGATACGAACAAAGGAACAAATCAAGTTTCTGTAACCAACCCCAAAGAAATGGAGATCTATGAACTAACTGCCTGAAAGAGTTAAAAAAAAATCATCTTAAGCTCATTGAGCTACAAGAGAACACAGAGAGACAACTAAATGATATCAGAAAATCAATACAGGAAGAAAATAAGAAGTTTAACAGACAGAAACCATAGAGAAGAACCAAACATGTTCTGGAGCTGAGGAATACACAGATTGAAAAATTTAGCAGGGAAATTCAACAGCAGATTTCAACAAGCAGATAAAGAATCAATGAACTTGAAAACAAGTAATTTTAAGTTACCTAGTAAGAGTAACAAATAGAAAAAAGAATAAAAAAGAGTGAAGAAAGACTTTGGGACTCGTGGGACATCTCCAAGCAACCAAATGATATCTGTTATGGCAGTCCCAGGAGGAGAAGAGGAAGAGAAAGGGGCAGAAAGCTTATTTAAAGAAACAGGGGCTTAAAACTTCCCAAATCTGGATAGGAAAATGGACACCCAGATTCACGAAGCCCAAAGGACACCAAATGGCTAGACCTAAAGAGGTCTACACTGAGATACATTATAATTAAATTGTCAAAAGTCAAAGGCAAAAAGAGAATTTTGAAAGCAGCAGAGAAAAGTGTCTCATCATATACAAGGGGACCCCTGCCCCATAAGGCTATGAACAGATTTCTTAGCAGAAATTTTGGAGAATTGGAAAAAGTGGTAAGATATATACAAAATGCTAAAGAAAAAACTGCCAATGAAGAATATTGTCCTTTAAAAATGAAACAAATCTGTCTGCAAAACTGTCCTTTAGACAAGCAGACAACCAAAGCGTCCTTTGATAGAGGACTGGATAAAGAAGATGTGGTGCATGTACTATGGACCACTACTCAGCCATGAGAGAAGATGAAACACTGCCATTTGTGACAACATGGATGGACCTTGAGGATATTATGCTAAGTGAAATAAGTCAGTCAGAAAAAGCTAAGAACCATAGGATTTCACTCCCCTGTGGGATATAAAACTGAAACTCATGGACACACACAGAGTATAGTGATTACCAGAGAGAAGGGGTAGCAGAGGATAAAGGGGGCCTATATAAACTGACAAAAGACTTGACTTTGGTGGTGGGCACACAATGCAGTATACAGATCATGTATTATAGTAATGTACACTTGAGACCTATATGACCCTATTGACCAATGTCACCCCAATAAATTTAATTTTTTAAAAATGAAGGAGTGGTAAAGTCTTTCCCAGATAAGCAAAAACTGTGAGCAAGTTTGTGACCACTAGATCTATCTTCCAAAAAGTGCTAAAGGAAATTATTCAAATTGAAACAAAATGATACAAACGTACACAGAAACACAAATATATATGAAAGTATAACTCTCACTGGTAAAGGCAAATATATAAAAAATAAATAGCAATGTAATATTGTAATGGTGATGCATTCATCATTTTAACCCTAATATAAAACTAAAAAAGTATTAATAATAACTACTACAACAAAAATTTGTCAATGGATACGCAGCAGAGTAGAAGTAAATTCTCACATAAATAACATAATGTGTGGGGGGAAATAAAAGTGTAGGGTTTTTATATGATTGAACTGAAGCTATATCAGTTTAAAATAGGCTGCTCAAACTCTCGAGTCCAGTTCAGAAGTAAGTCCTTATCTATCAATAATACTTAGCTTAAATATAAGTCAATTAAACTCTACAATGAAAGGCAAAGACTGACTGAGTGGACAGAATAAAATATAACTATATTGCTTACGAGAGACCACTTTAGATTTAAGGACACACAAAGATTGAGAGTGGAGGGATGGAAAAAAGAGATTTCATGCAAATGGTAACCAAAAGAGAGCAAAGATGGCTATACTGACATCAAAGAAAATAGTAAAAAACTGCCATAAGAGACAAAAAAGTTCATTACATAATGATAAAAGGGTTAATTTACCAGGAATAGAGACTAATTAAAAATATATATACACACCCAACATAAGAGCACCTAAGTATGTAAAGCAGACACTGACAGACCTAACGGGAGAAATAGACAGCAATACAATTATAATACGAGACTTTAATACTGTACTTTTAATAAATGGCAGATGATCCAGACAAAAAAATTAATAAAGAAACAGCAGACTTTAACAACATTACAGTTCAAATAGACCTAAAAGACATACACAGAATATTTCACCCATCAGCAGCAAGCAACATATTCTTCTCAAGCACACACACAACATTTTCTAGGACAGAGTACATGCTAAACCACAAAAAAAGTCCCAATAAATTTAAGAAGACTGAAATCATCTCAACTACCTTTCCCAACAACAATGGAATGAAATTAGAAATCAATAACAAAAGAAAAACAGAAAAATTCACAAAGGCATGGAGATTATACAAGGCACTCTTGAACAACCATTGGGTCAAAGAAGAACCAAAAAGGAAATAGAAAATATCTTGAGACAAGCAGAAACCAAAATTTATGGGATGTAGTGAAAGCAGTACTAAGAAGACTTTACAGCAATAAACACCTACAGTAAAAAAAGAGAAAGATATCAATAAAAAACCTAATGTTACATGTCAAGGAGCTAAAAAGAACAAACTAAGTAAGTTTAGAAGAAGAAAGAAAATAATAAAGGCTGGAGCATAAGTAAATAACAAACAGAAAAATAATGGAAAAGATTGATGAAACTAAGAGTTATTTTTTTTAAAGGTAAACAATATCAATAAACCTTCAGTTAGACTAACAAAGAAAAGACTCAAATAAAATTATAAATGGAAGAGGAGACATTACAAATGATACCACAGAAATAAAGATCATAAGATACTATTATGAACAATTATACATCAAAAAACTGGACAACATAGAAGAAATGGATAAATTCCTAGAAAGATACAACCTATCAAGACTAAATCAAGAAGAAATAGAAAACTTAAATAGACCAAAAACAAATAAGGAATTTAAATCAGTAATCAAAAACCTCCCAACAAGAACAGCTCAGGACCAGGCAATATGAACTTTTGCAAACCATGAACACCAGATATCATTCCATTTATTTCTGACTGCTTTCATTTCTTTCATCGGTGTTCTATACTTAAAAACAACACACACAAAACTGAATTAGAAGATGTTTACTGCAATCTATTTTTGATGGAAAAAAACATAACATACATTTATTTAGCACAGCCTTGTGGAATACATGGAAGCTGGGGAAGAAGACTTTCCTCCTCTTAGGCCATGGCGAGGACTGGCTCAAGAGCTGCTCTGCTATAATTAAGTATTTCCTGCACTAGTTGGCCACCGCATTTAACATTTATTAATTTTCTCCATTCAGTATAGGCAGCAACTAGCCATTTTCTTTCAGTTCCTTAACAATGTCCAGCCCTCCAACGAGCTCCCCTTTCACATACAGCTGAGGGGGTGCTGGCCAGTTGGAGAACATTTTCAACTCTTGCTGAACTTCATCCTCAACATATCAGCTGTCTCATATTTAACACCAATACTATTTAGTATTTCAAGAATTTGTTTGCTGAATCCACAGTTAGCTTCCTGTTTGTTTCTTTTCATAAAGAGCACCACAGAAGCTTTGTTTGTCAGTACTTTGGGCCTTTTCTCTAATTTGGGAGCTTTGGGGCAAATTGTATCTAGTTTTTCAGATACTTGCAGCTCCTTAACTATTTCAAGTCATCCTATGAGCTCGTCAGAAACAGAGCTGGGAATAGGTGGGCCAATTGGAATAGGTTTTGAGGCCCCGATGAAGTTATCCATCTGAGAAGATATCAAAACTGCTTAACTGAATATTGTGTTTGTTGAGAATTTCCACCATCTGCTTGCTGAAACCACAGTGCAGCTCCTGCAGAGTCCTTTTCATAAACAGCATACAGGGGGCAGTGGTTGAGTTAATATCTTCAGGCAAAGGCTGTGGTCTTCTTTGGGGTGCTCACGGCCACTGGGTGGGAAGAAGCCGATGGATAGCTGTCGCTGAATTTTTTGGTCAACTCTGGGGCATGTGCACCATCTAATGAATTTTCTGAGAATTTTTGAAAAACAGAAAGGTGGGATCAGAACTAATTTCAGATTTTTCAGGTACTTCAGAAACAGCTTCAGCTTCCAACTTCACAGACGAAACTTGGGTGTGTTCTTTGGCTAACTCAGCCATCATGCCATTCATCTGAGCACACTGTGGAGTCCATGGTGCCCAAACATGAACTGCAAGGAGAGACTTTGCTCTGAAACGCAGCAGCTCCTCAAATTGCTGGGCTGAACCATCCTCCACTGCCACCCTCGGTGCCATCCATCAGTGTTTTATACTTTTCAGTGTACAAATATTTCACCTCCTTGGTTAAGTTTATCCCTAAGAATTCTATTCTTTTTGATGCTATTGTAAATGCTATTGTTTCTTAATTTTTTTTTCAGATAATTTGTTGTCAGTGTATAGAAATGTAACTGATTTTTGTATGTTGATTTTACATCCTGCAACTTTGCTCAATTTGTTCATTTAGTTTTAATAGTTTTTTATAGAGTCCTTATGATTTTCTACATATGAGAGTTACATCATCTGCAAAGGTAATTTTACTACATTTCCAATGTGGATGCCTTTTATTTCTTTTTCTTGTCTGCTCTGGCAAGGATTTCCAGCACTGTGCTGAAAACTACCTATAGGGACATTTTTTCAGTTTTTCACCATTGAGTATGATGTTAACTGTGGGATTTTCATATGTGGTCTTTACTGTGTCAAGGTAAGTACCTTCTATAACTTGCTGAGAATTTTTATCAATAAAGGGTGTTAAATGTTATTGTTTTTCTGCATCTACTAAGATGATCATATGATTTTAAAGCTTCTTTTCTTAATGTAGTGTATCACACTGATTGATTTGTGTATGTTGAACCATCTTCGCATCCTAAAGATAAGATTTATGATCCTTTCATTATGCTGTTGAAATCAACATGCTAATATTTTGTTGAATATTTATGCATCCATATTCATTAGATATACTGATCTGTAGTTTTCTTGTAGTGTTTTTGTCTGGCTTTGATATCAAAATGATACTATCTTCATAAAATGTGTTTGGAAGTGTCCCCTCTTCTACTTTTTTTGGAAAAGTTTAAGAAGGTCCGCGCCTGGGCTTTTTCTTGTTGGGAGGTTATTGACTACTTGATTCAAATTCCTTGTTTTTGTTCTGTTCAAGTTTTCTGTTTCTTCTTGATTCAATCTTGATAGCTTGTATGTTTCTAGGAATTTATGCATTGTTATAATGTCCATATGACATCAAATGGTCTACAGATTCAATACAATCTCTTTCAAAATCCCACTTATATTTTTCACAGAAATAGAAAACATTATTCTAAAGTTCAATGGAACCACAGAAGACCCCAAGTTGCCAAAACAATCTTGAGAAATAACAAAGCAGTTCTTGATTTCAAAATATATTACTAAGCTATGGTAATTAAAATAATATAGTACTGGAATAAAAACAGACACAGAGACCAATGAAACAGAATGGAGAGCCCAGAAATAAACCCATATATATATGGACAACTAATCTTCGACAAGGGTGCTAAAAATACACAATGAGGAAAGGGTAGTATCTTCAATAAATGGTGCTGAGAAATCTAAGTACACACATGTAAAATAATGAAATTGGACCCTTATCTTACACCATACACAAAAATCAAGTAAAATGTATTAAAGACTTAAACATAAGACCTGAAACCATGAAACTCCTAGAATAAAACATAGGGGGGAAAAGCATCTTGACACTAGCCTTGGTAATGACTTCTTGGATATGACACCAAAAGTACAGGCAACAAAAGAGAAAATAAACAGACTGCATCAAACTATAAAGTTCTGCAAAGCAAAGTGAAAAGGCAACCTACAGAATGGGAGAAAATATTTGCAAAAAATATTTCTGATAAAGGGTTAATATCCAAAACATATACAAGAAACTCCTATAGGTCAATAATAACAAATAAACAAACAAAACAACAACAAAATACACAACCTGATTAAAACATGGGCAAAAAACCACAAACCCTGAACAGACATTTCTTCAAAGAAGACTGACAAATGGCTAACAGGAATATGGAAATGTCCTCAACATCAGTTGCAATCACATGATTTTCAGGGTGAGATTTTTTTTTTTTTAAATATATCTTTATTGATTTCAGAGAAAGGAAAGGAGAGGGAGAGAGAGATAGAAACATCAATGATGAGAGAGTCACTGATTGAGCCTGCAACCTGGGCAATGTGCCCCAACCGGCAATCAAATCCTGATCACCTGGATCCCAGGTTGATGCTGAACTGCTGAGCCACACCTGCTGGGCCACATGATTTTCAAATGCAAATCAAAACCACAGTGAATTATCACTTCACACCTGTTAGGGTAGCTAGAAACAAAAGAGAAGTTTGTTGAGGATGTAGAGAAAAGTGAAAGACCTGAACACTGTTTGAAGGAGTGCAAATTTGTGCAGCCACTATGGAAACCATTATAGGTTTTCCTCGAATAATTAAAAATGGAACTACAATATAATCCAGAACCTGAATCCTAATTATATATCTAAAGGAACTGAAATCAGAATCTGAAAGAGTTATCTGCTCTGCCATGTTCACTGCAGCATTATTCACAATATCTAAGACACAAAAGCAATATAAATGCCCATTAATGGATGAATGGATAAAGAAAATATGACACATACACACACACACACATATACAATAAAATATTTTTTCAATTTCAAAAATGAAGAAAATTAGGTCATTTACAACAACATGGTTAAACTTGGTGGACATTTTGCCAAGTGAAATAAGCCAGACACAGAAGGAAAAATATTACACGATCCCATTTTTATGAGAAATCGAAAAGAGTCAAACTCAAAAAAACAAAGTACAAAGGTATTTTTCAGGCAGTAGAATGGCTGGGGGGAGTGTAAAACAGGGAAGTATTAGTTAAAAGGTACAAAGTTTTGACTATACAAGAGGATCAAGTCTAGCGATCTGCTGTACAGTGTAGTGTCTATACCTAACAATACTGTACTATATACCCCAAATTTTGCTTTGAGGGCACATTTTGTGTTAAGTGCTCTTATCATACCCACCCCTCCTGGCAGCCTTCACCACCCCAGCACTCATCCACACCCTGCCCCAGCCTAGGGCTCAGAGCTCAGAGCCTGCCTGCATCTATTCGTCCCTTATCCTGAATGATGGGGTGACAGTAATGGAGGGCTAAGATCAATGCCCTCATTAAAGTAGCTGTTGTAAATATTGAACCTTCTGGCCAGGCTTGTTTGCAAAGGCTCTGGCCAACGTCAACATCGGGAGCCTCATCTGCAACGTAGGGGCTGGTGGGCCTGCGCCAGCAGCTGGTGCTGCCCCAGCAGGAGGTCCTGCTCCCACCACCCCTGCCCCAGCTGAGGAGAAGAAAGTGGAAGCAAAGAAGGAAGAATCTGAGGAGTCTCATGATGACATGGCCTTTGGGCTTTTTGACTAAACCTCTTTTGTAAACATTCAATAAAAAGCTGAACTCTGAAAAAAGAACAGGAAAAAAAGAACTTTCTAACAACATGTGATATTTATGGCTGCAAAACTTCATTTAGTTTCTTTGAATGCCAGTTAGATTTAAACCACAAAAGAGTCAAACCACAAAACCAAAACCAAATGTGGATTATAAAGTATTGGCACATTGACTATTCTCTTAAAAATATACCAGAAAAATAATGTTCAATATATTCATAAAGAACTTCACCCTGTAACTAAAGGTGGAGTGCAATAGAAAAAATTGACTTGAGAGTTGGGGACATTTTAATGTCTGGTCTTATGTTTATAACTTAAACTGTTGGAAATGATATGCTCCATTTATATTGAGCTATTGCTCTTTGAAAATATTATCTTTAAATATGTTTTATTTAAATATCTATCAGAATGGGTATATGACACATAATATAAAAATAAAAAATAAAATAGCATACACAGTTTCATTACATATAGCTTATTCTGTCGTTTAGAGCTGCAGTGGTGCCACACAAAATGATCTGAGAGTGTTCACTCTGGGCAGAGCAGGATGGGAGCTCTAGCAAAAACACAGTACTGCAGAGAGAGGCATTTACCAGTCTCACTTCCAGCTCACAACCCATACCTTTGCAAAAGGTTAAAATTAAGAAAATAAGAGTCACCTTAGGTCAGGATTGTTTCAAGATTCTGAGAAAAATTTCCAGAGCTCTTTTAAAAGTTAACTTGGAAGAGAGTGCTGTGGTAGAATCTGGAACAAACTTTCTTTAAAAAAGTAGTTTCAGGGCGGCAAGACATTTTCATCAACTCACAATTTCCATCATGTTTTGCAGAAATATCTATTTATGCCTCAAACTGCATTCCTGATAATGTTATCCCTGATGCATGTAAACCAATCTGTGATGAATGCTTATTGTTCTAATGATGACTAGAGAAAACTTTAAGCAATTGCTGTCTTTGAAATAAAACTCAAGAGTCACAGGCGGTTGACAACAGAGGGTCAATTCTATACCTATCCCCTCCTCTTTTTTTGCCCCCACCCTAGGTGGCAATCATCCAACCTGGGTTGGCAGTAAGAAGAGGGGCTGTCTACTTTCCTCCCTAAAGTCCACCTTCATGAGAGATGCCTGAGGCTCCACAGCATCAGTCTCCACCAGGGAGGAGAAAACCCCTCCCAGAAATGCATCCATCTGTAGGGCATGGATCAAAAGTCATGCTTATCTGGGTGAAAGTTATTTTGGCTCTAATGCTGAGTCCCTCATTCATGTAAATGAGATGGCAGAGGCAGAAGGCAATGTTTAATTTGATTAAGAGGGAAATACAAAACAAAACTTGACTGTAATCCTTTAGCCATACCATCAAGGTTCTAACAATAAATAACTATTATACATGAAAACAATATATGAGGCAGGCTAGGTTGACAATACTTTGAAAACAGTGTTTACTGAATGTGGTTGAGAACAGCGGCAGGTAACAATGAACCCTGAAATGGAGCACAGTACTGAGCTTTTGTACTTAGTGATGAGACATGAGTGATCACAGGCAAATCAGTCTCCTGCATGGATTTCCACTTCCTCATCTGCAAATTGGCAATAACAGTACTTGCCCTAACCTCCCAAGAGTTGCGAAAATTCAATGATTGTGAAAATCTCTTGCTGTACAAAATTTAAAAAAACACACAAAAATCCCCCAAATAAAAACAAAAAACTAAACATGATCAGTAATTACAAAAATGAGTGGAAATTCATACAGATCTTATAATGTGAGTTTAAGTATTTTAAAAACAGTAATGTTCAACATGAATTGAATAGTTTCTAGGTACCAAGTTCTGTTCTAAAGGCTTTTTATACATTATCTTAATCCTACATAAAACCCATTCAGGAAGATGGTATAATTTTCCTTATTTTATGTTATTAAACTCAGAGAGATTAAATAACTTGCCCAAAGTCATATAGTTAATAGGTAACAAGCAATGATTTGAATTCAGGTCAGCTGGAGTGCAGAGATCAAGGTCGTACACATATAGCCTCTTCTTAATTACTATATACNGGTAGTTCTGGCTGTGGAGAGCGGGCTGAGCCACTTGATAGATTCATGGGCTGGTCAATTCTCTTAAATCTTGTGTTCCTCATTTATAAAATAGGGTCTTACATAGTCACTACTTTGTAGGGTTCTTGTGAGTCTTAACTGAGATAGCACAAATTTAGAAAATCCTAATGGGGGTGATGGTGGCTGGGGGGCTGGCACTTATTAAATACCTAGTCAGGCTTGTGGTTGTTATAATGGCAATATAGTTGTTGTTGGTGGTGGTGGTGGTGGTGGTAAAAGTAGGTTTACAGTTGTTTGTATGGAAAATAATAAAATAATTAAATAATATTACAAGAATAAACTCTGCTTCCCACACTCACAACTGTAAGCCTACTTTTGCCCCACCCTGTATGTATGTATGTATGTATATATCTGTCTATCATCTATTATCTATCTATCTATCATCCATCTATCTATCTATCTATCTATCTATCTATCTATCTATCTATCTATCTATCTATCTATCTATCTATCATCTATCTATCTATCATCTATCTATCTATCTATCTATCTATCTATCTATCTATCTATCTATCTATCTATCTATCTATCTATCTATCATCTATCATCATCTATTTCTATTTATCTATCATCTATCTATCATCTATCTCTCTACTTGTCCATCTATGTTTTGCACATCAGACCACTGGTAATGTCCTCTGATTTTTTCATGTCAGAGCAACTATTATGGTAAGATTTCTTTCTGTCTTTTCTAATTTTTTTGAAGTCTGAGGCTTTTGATTACTTTTACCTTCAAAATAGTTAAATTTATAATTCATGACAAAAAAGGAGGATGCCTACATAAATGAACAAAAATAGAGAATCTGATTTTGAAATGTATTATGTGTTTATTTTACCCCCACATTTTTCCTATATTTTTAGATGATGCTGAAAGCTCTAGAGACAGTCTAATGTGTAGGGCACATCCCCACTCCCAACACACACATACATACATGGCAACACTATCCTGAGGTGCCATATTCTAGAACTATTTATGCTGCTTTGAGGAGTCAGTAGAATGAGCTAGAATCTTCAGGGTGACAACTAACTACTGTCAAACTAATCAAACAGTTTTTACAACTCTTTTGATTCACCCAAATCTCTCCCAAATTGGATTCATACCTGAATACAAGTATTGGAAAAAAAAATGAGACAGTAAACTGAAAATACTTCAAAACATTTGAGGGTAAAGTACTACTCTTATTACTATATATTTACGAATTAGTAAATGATGAACAAACACTTTTGGTAGGGTATTTTGCCTATGCAATTTCGCTTGACAGTTATTGCTGCAAATGGAATCCTGCCTCTATAACTTAAGCATCTGAAAGCCACTTGCTGGTCACCTTATTCTAAAATGAGGGACATTTGTAGACCAGAGGCTATTCTAACACTAAGCTTGCCCTTAAAAAATCTTGGTTTATCTCACTGGCTATCCAGTTATAAATAATATGCAATTAAGATTAATCCATCGCAAATGACTTTAGAATCAGACCAGTTCACTCCCCAATACTGTTCAGAGAAAAAGATGGATCTCCTGGTTAAAAATAGAAAAAGGAAAACAAATGAGCAAACAAAAAACCCCAAATGAACAAAAAATTACACCAAAACATTAAAACCCTCTCGGCTGGCCTTAAATGGCCGACAGTAATCACGCATGCAATTATTAATAAGACATATTCACAGAAACACTATAATAAAGATTAGCTTACTCAAAGAAACAGTCTTTAAATCCAAGGAGAGGAACTAAGTTGGCTTTTAAATGAACTATTATCAAAGTGGGGTCTTTCTTATCTTCACTAAGTTATTTATTCCATATTAGAAAAATAGTGGAAACAATTTTACGTACCTCTCTTCCCTGAAGGATTCCAAGAAATTGGAAGCATTGTGGAATGAAAAAATTCCATAGTGTTACAAAGCATTTTAAAAAGAGATCATTATAATCTATATTTCAGCATATAGCAGAATGATATTTATGAGTTATGACTATCTCTGTTCTATAAAGTCAACTCAATTTTTATTGATTAGAAAGTAAATATTTACATTTTAATTGTGTTTGGGTACATTATATTTTAACAAGCATTCAGTGATTGGGTGGAGTATATAACACTTATTAATTACATTTTAAAAGGTTGTTATTATTTTTATTAGTGTAGAAAAATTAAATGTGATTTTTGTGAAATGTATTAGAGTATTAGATGTAACTGTTTAGGTGAAATAAGCTACAACTGGATATCCAATCAGAATTCTTTTTTAAATTCAAAAAGGTTTAATACTCTGATGATAATGCCTTTTAATAAAAGACAAAGACAACATGTACATATATTTTATCATATAATCACTTTCATTGTAATAGAGCAGTAGTACTGCTCTAGGAAAGATCCTCTTGGGAATTCATTTCAAATTATTGAAGCAGCTGTTTCTTCAGTTTAAAATAAAATATCCATAACAAGTTCACACATGACAGATGCAAGGTAAAAACTAGATTCCACAGTGTGAGCTAAAAGCAGATGTTTTGAATGATCATATTTATAACCAGATACAATAATCCTCAGTTACCTATGGTAAGGTTTCATGAATATTCTTTTCCAAGAATTTGCTTCAAATATACTTCATGTAGTTTCTTATATTCTGATAACGAGGCTTCATTAAATATAAAAGCTCTATAAATTCTTATGTATCTGGTTTTCTTTTATTCTTGCCCATTTCATGTGCTTCCTCAAGAATAAAAGCATTAGGGTACTGAAATTTAATACATTTATTTAATTCCACATATTTCCCCCACCCAATTCCAAGTCAGAAAACTCCTTTTAAAAAAATAAACTCATGAGTACTAGAAAAAGTGACACCTTTAAGTCTTACAATAAGGAGTTTGCCTGGTGAATGCCCATTCCA